GTGTGCCTCTCAGTGTGACTCTGTGGGCGTGTGCCTCTCAGTGTAACTGTGGCAGAGCCTGGGGAAAGCCAAGCTCCCAGGGCCTTCTGTGTGGCTGTTTGCATATCTGTGTTTACAGTTTCCCTCTTTCTTTTTACGAATCTGACTGGCAAACATGGCTGTGTTTGTTTGGATTTTTTCCGCATGTCCACCCATTTCTTTCATGTTCTGTGGATGATGTAAATTGTGTATTTTCTCCCAGGCCTGCAGCTCTGAAACTGGAATATGAGACAAGGCGCCTACTTAGAAGAACATCTACCGTCCTAAACATCTCACTTGTGACTCTTTGCTCTTGTGCATCCCTGTGTTTTATTTTTACTGGACTGACTTTCATACCAATAACCACCCTAGTTGGTGGACCTGACGGCCCCGAGGAGGGTCCTGGGCTCTCTCCTTTTATGACTCCCAGCCATGCGGCTTTTGGCAGGGCTGTCACTCACTAGAGCATCTCTTCCAGTGGTGATCCTAACCCTGAAAATGGCTGCCCTGCTGCTCCTTGCTCAAGCCACCTACTTCTCTTGATGGGCACCATTGTTTAAGGCTCTTCACAGACTTGTTGCCTTATTTAAAGTTCTCCTTCTGCATGCCACCAAACAGCAGGCTGAATCATGGTACCCTCATGTGTGTTATCTCTGAATGCTCTCCTTTCACACGTGCGTGATGGATGGGGTGACATTCTCCACTCTGTCACTTTCTGGAGAGTGTGGCATCATGCTTTGGGAAACACTGCGGTAAGAGCCATGAGGCCAGAGATGAACTTAAGGGCCTTGCTCACTCTTGCCCTGACTCCCTTGGCCAGCTCCCTGGAAGGTCTTGCATGAGCTGATTTCCCTCTGAGGCTGAGGCAGTGGAACTGAGTAATGGGTTCAGCACTTGGAACTGTTTTTTGTTAGGTTACAGAGTTCCCCAATTGCATTTCCAGAACAGTAACAAGTGACCTGTGTCTTCATATAACATTTAGTCATAGTATAATTTTCCTTTTAATATCACCAATAATACTGATGGTGCATCTGTGTGATGAGGATTTGTCTGCCTGCCTTTCCCACAAGCCAAGGACAAGGAAAGCTGCCTTATTCTTTCCTTCTTGAACATTCGGCAGAGAGTGCTCACTGGAGTTGGTGCATTGGTCTGCATCTTGCACTGGGATTCAAAGATCTGTGGATACAGCTATGCAGGGGGCTCACACCAGTCCCAGCCCAGGGCACACAGATCAGTTCCTGAGACCTTACTGTGGCCAGAAACATTGAAATGCATGGCGGATGGGCCATCATAGATCATAGCTTAGGGCCCCCACTCTGGCACAACACAGTTCTGCTAACCACACCCCTTCATTTGATTCTTCCTTCAAAGGCAGACAAGCCTATCAAATATTTAGACAGAGTGGATAGAAAAAGTACTTTCAACAGCCACCACTTCCTTCCAAGAACTGTTTAACGAAAAAAGAAAGAAAATACAGATGAACGGCTCCGTCTGCACTGAACTTAACAGGTGCCAGACTGACAGGGTGACAACACCACCTGGGCTCAGACTCCACGGAGGAGTTATAAAACTTGGACTCCTAAAGAAAGAAAACATGCAAAGGTGGGGGCAGAGCTTCTGAGGTAAGGAGTGGGCAGGAATGGAGGACATTCCTTCCTCAGCCATAGTGGGAACTGACATGAGACAGAAGGACATGCCACTGGGCGAGGGGAAGTGGACCTAATGTGGCACCGTCAGGCGAGAGTGGTCCTAGTGACTGGCAGAAGTTAGGAGTGCCCATAAGAGCCTTGAGACGGACGGGGTCCAGCAGCCAACCCAAGCAGTGCTAAGTTTTCTGCCCCGACTTCAGTATCTTTCATTAGCTCTTCAGACCATCTGACTCCCTGGCATATTAAAAATAGTTCAGTCTATAGGGGTGGTAAAATGGATGGCCAAGGAGAATGTCTTAGAATCATAATTTAATTTAAAAGCAATGACTGACCCCATTCTGGGGGTCATGGTGAGATCTTCAGAAATCCTAAACAGTGAAGAGATTGTGTCCTCCGGCACTATGTAACTCCAAATAAAGACAATATTAAACCATGAAGGAGTTGGGGTAAAGTTCAACCAAGTTCAGCCATGAAAAACAGCCTGATTTTAAAAACACAAAAATCCAATTCTTTCAAGTGATGTTCTTGTATTTACTCACCCCACCTCCAGTACCCTCTGAACTGGTGCCTCATCCCTCCTCTCAAGTTGGAAGTCACCTGACCTGACTTTTCATAAGAGGCATTTCCAGGTTCTCCTCAGACCTTCCTAGATATCTCTTCATCCACCACCACAGTGAAGCCAGATGTCTGAAGCCCTCCCACGTGATGCCGTCCGCACACTAGGTCTCCCCGCTATGCCCCACCTTCCCTATGATGCCCATCTCTGACCTCTACTCCCGACCCCACTCACCTGTTTTGAAGATCTCGTAGCGTAGGGAGAAACCTGCCCCCTGCCGGGCATAGTCTGACGTGAACTTGATATATAACATGGAGCCAGAGGAGATGATGGTGGGTGGGGCGATGTTCCCACAGTGTTTGCCTAGGAGGTCAGCTGACTCACTGTCCCCATCCCGAATCTCAATGAAATCATACCTACGTGGGAACAGCGAAAGGACACAGATGAGCAAAGGACCGTCATCCCCTTGTGGCTCTCCCCACTCTTTCAGACACTCAGGAGCTGCAGTGTCCACAAAGGGCACCCTACTTGCTTTGGTACACAGGCAAACACAGACACGGGAAGTTGTTTTCAAACTACACTGTGAGTGCATGGGTGGGAGGCCTTATCTCTTGTTCACAAGAGCATTGCCTCACTCTCTCGGGATCTCAGAGCAAGCGTTGTTTGTCCTTGGGTGGCAGTAGCACATACTTTTTATTTCCACTGTGACCTCTCGAAATCTTTGTCTCTCCTTAACTCTGTCATTGCCTTGAACATGAGGGTTGACGAGTGTGGCAGGCGGGGAAAACAGCAGCTGCTCCAGCGTGCAACCAGCGAGAAGATGGCATGAAAACTACACACATGTCAGGACTGGCACCCTGGGGGTGCTTCAGCCGGGCTTTCTCTCCTGCCCCCTGCCCTGATTTCGTGTTCTCCTGGGCCTCTTGTTCTTACTTGGCAGTGTTCCCATCTGCAGGCTACCTCCTTCCCCTAGATATGCCTACAAAGGTCCTGTCAACACTATCTAGTCAACATGGTTTCAAAAAGGATTGGAGCTAACTCAGATAAGGCCATAAAAACTCTCTAGCACTGTGTCTGTGCACCCACAACGGCTGGCTGGACTCCCCCAAGCAGTGGCCTGTGCTCCTTTCAGACTGAGTCAGATGGGCCTGGCATGGGCATCGATGCCCCACAGTCTTTCTTGGCCAGGTTCACAGATGATGCACATCTTGACGGGCACATTTTCCAGCTGGGGTGCATGCCCAGCAAGGATCCCCCAGTTTCTCTGCACTTGTATGTTTCCAGTTACTGCTTAACTCTCACAGCCCACGTGGGACTCTTCTTCAGAACCCGGCTTCCCCTCTTTCCTCTCCCCTGATTTATTTTGCATCAGCCTGTAAAAACAACACACAAGGAATTTCCTCCTTGTGGGTAAGGAAAGGGGCTGACAATGTAGCCCTCCTGGGGTGTGGCCTACTCTCCTGTGGCACAGGTCTGTGGGAGCTGGTGACCTGCACAAGGGGTTGGACCTCAGCCGTCAGGGGCTGTACTTCAGGTTGCTCAGCCCTTTCTGAATAAATAGGGCTGTAAAGGAGGAAGGAGTCTGTTACCAGGGCCAGTTTCTCCTGAGGCCCTGGAGGGATGGACTCCTACAACCACAACAATGACTGGTGTTGGGTTCCTCCAGAGAGGTGGAGCTGGGGAGATAGGGGCTTCCACCAGAGCTCTGATGAGATAGCCAGATTCCCAAGGCCCCAGGGTGGGGTGGGGTGGAGGAGCTACTCAAATCTAGGATTTTTCAATGTGGGAGATAGTACTGATTTTGCAAGTAAGCTTCCTCAATTCCAAAACAAAAGCGAAAGACACTTGTTTGTTCTTAGGGGAAATTCCCAACCCCTCTGGAAAACCCCTTCTTGCTGTTCCTCTCTGGTTAGCTGCCTAAGCAGAGGTGTCAGCTGAGCAATGGCGCACCAAGCAGTGTGAACACAAGTCAAGCAACCCTTACTCACTCATCACGAACTCCCTCTCTGGGTGTCAGATCCCAGACCTAGGGACGGGGGGGGAGGGAAGGGGGGGTGCCATGGATGGGGGGATTGCATTCCATTTCTTAGCCCAAATTACAGTTCTTTAATAAGCCATCTATTCGTAAAATAAAGCTACAGCCACTAAAAACTTCTTTTTCAAAGCAGAAGAACTGAGAAAAATTAAGCTTTGAATCTTTCTGAGCCTCAAAAAAAAAAAAAAAAAATAGGGGGAATAGGGCTGAGGAGATGGCTTAGAGGGAAAAATGTTTGCTGTCCACGCGTGAGGACTTGACTAGGTAAACTTACTTAAACCAGGTAAGTCTGGATACAGTGGAGCCCAAGATTGCCCTCTGGCTTCACAGGGAACCCTAGCACGGGCACACACACTGAGCAGATACTTTTCAAATGAAGGCTGCAACTGTAAAAGAGCTAATAGGAGCCATCTCCTTCAGCCGTGAGCTTTGCGTGACTGAACCTAATCTGCATGAAGAATGGCTATGTGGTCCAGCCCTCTGGTTAAGAAAGCTAACCAGTCTGTCGAATTCTCACACTGATTTCCCGGGAGCAGAGAGGTTGAGGCCTGGACATAGACGACACCTGTCTGAAGACACCTGTCTTGGGGGTATTGGCACAGTGAAGGTGGAGATGTAAAGCGCTTTACACATTTGGAAGGTACTTTTGGGGCAAAATGTGATGAAAGTTACTATATTTGTAGCCTTTAAACCAGAATCCTTAGGACATTTTTCCACCAAGAAAACAATCAAAGGGTCACATACAGATGTATATGCATCGTTGTGAATTTTTAGAAGTATATTATAAATGAGAAGATGCTTCCTTTATAGATAGCATTATGTTGAAAAATCCAACCAGACAGTGAAAGTAAATTAATTTTGCTATATTTATAAGGTGAAATATTCAGTTGCTACCGAAAATAGTATGGCAGGACTGGGTTATTTTTTAAACAAAAATTGCATTATATACTATTAATGCAAAAAGAACAGATTTTTAAAGTCCATTTTAAAATGCACACATTATTTTCTTGCATAAGAATTCAGAAAACATTTGAAAAACTACATCTAAAATACTGGCAGAGACACATCATTGACAGGCTGATTTCGCCTTCTTTGTTTCCTTCTGTTATCTGAATTATTACAAGTTCACATTTCTTTAATAAGACAAGACTCATAAAAATAAAGCTACATTCCTTAAGTTTTCAAAGCAGAAATGTTGAGAAAAACAAGCCCTTAGCATTTAGCAGGGATGAACATAATGGAACTTGCCAAAAATCCCGGCACTTGGGGGCTGAAGCAGAAGGATCAGAGTTCAGGGTCAATGTGGGCCACATAATAGTCTGTCTCAAAGACCCAATAAGTGGAAAACAAAGTTAGCAGACACAGGTGTGGATTCTTTTCCACTATCACCATATTCCCCTTCTCTCCGAGCTGGAGTGTGCAGAATGAGGGCCTCGTGAGACATGGCATGTCCAAAAACCCAGAAATAGAATTGCACATAGCGTACTCATAATTAATATTTAAAAAGAGAATTAAAAAAACAAAAAGAAAAATCTGGTTTTGTGTTGGTGACTTTTCTACAAAGGACTGAGAGGCCCTGCTGCCATAATGGCTAGTCCTCAGAAGTGGGTGGGGTCATTTAGAGGATTGACAGAATCAGCCAGGAGGCAGGGCTACCAACAACTGCCATTGCTCAGAGCTTGCCTCAATTTACTAAGGGATCAGGATGCCCCCAGGCTTTGTGTGTGTGTGTGTGTGTGTGTGTGAGAGAGAGAGAGAGAGAGAGAGAGAGAGAGAGAGAGAGAAAGAGGGGGGGGGAGAGAAGAGAGAGAGAGAGACTTGCCCAGCAACAATTCCATGTTTACTTACACACACACACACACACACACACACACACGCACACACCACCTACTTATAGTGAAGGCCATACAATTTTAACAAAGGTTCCTCTAAGACAGTAACCAATTCTCTCTCTGTGCTGTGAGTTAAAGGGAACCCCTGCATCTCCCCCCCCCCCACCTCCGTGAGTCTCTTTGTGAAGCAAATAACCTTGAACTTGAACTTCTTAGGGAACTGGATTTTTCTATCAAGTACACACGAGAGAGACAGGAGTTACAAGTTGGCAGGCAAGTTCCTTCTCCCTCCAGGGTCCTGGCTGCACCCTGTGGACAAGTCCACTAAACCATATGACCTTCTGGCTGGTCTTTTGCTATAAAGGGCACACTTCAAGTGACAAGCTGACTTCATCCAGAATATCTCATTTACCTCCCATGTGACAGACTCATTTGGGGAAATTTTTTATTATTGGGGATTTGCTGCAGCTGGAGCAAATCTCCTCAGAAATTTCAGTGTTGTCAGGTTCGTTTGTGAAGGGCTCTGAGGAGGCTCAGGAAGTTTGTGGCTTTGGAATAAACACAAGCTTTGCGCAGCCTTGAGTCTCCAGTGTTTGTTTGATCAAGAAATCTGGGGTACAGACTTGAACTTCACCCCAAGGACAGTGAAACGGGCTGACTTGAAAGCTGCCCTCTCACTCAGCCCATTACTGCCTCCCAGAAGCCAACATGAGCGGCTAACAGACATATTAACTACAGTGTTTGTGTTTCATTATCCATAATCTCTCTCAAATGAAAAAATTCCTTTCGAAGCTTTAACACTACCTCTTATTATTTTGGTTATTTATTTCTTCCCCCTGAGCCAAGGTGGCCACCTCTACCTCACTCTGGGTCTTTCTCTATGGTCTTCGAGCGCTGATAGCTGCATGGGCGGGCTTGTCTAGAGAACGCCTCCTCTACTTTATCCTTTAGCCTCGAAGTCTTCATTGCTTCTCCTCAAATCCACATGGGTAGGGGGCAGCATGGAAATCTAGACAGTGAAATTAATTTCCTGAGTCCAAGGGGAGAGAGAGAAAAGGAGAGAGAGGGGAGACAGCAGCTTCATCTCTCCCTCCCATCCCTGGCAAACATGGAAACGGGTTCTCTGGCGTCCATCCCTCACTCTCCCAGGCACGGCTGACTACTGCTCAGTGTGTGGAAGATCTCCCTGGCTAAGGCCCTTGTTCACAGCAGTTTAAGGTCTAACCTGAGTCTCGTCTGCCTTTCTGGGTACACAGACGTCTGTGGGGGAAGGGGGTATACCAAAGGCAGAATTCTTAGGATCTATAAGGGTGTCACACCCAACTTCGGGATTTGGATCTAAACACAGGGATGCCTGCACTCAAAGAAATTGGATTCTTTGGCAGGCAGGCCTTACCTCCCTTCATGCTGCTTGCCTCGCTGATGTTTGCGACACAGATGGAGGGTGTCCCAATCTTTGGGCCCTTGAGCTCCTCTTTCTCGTGTCTGCCATACGCATTAGCTCTGCCTGTGGCCAGTTCTCTTCTTTCAGGCCTGCCCTGCCTTCTCT